ATATTTGTCAGATAATTATGGATGAATCATTTTGGTCAAATATTTTACAACTTAAAATATTATTACAACCATATTGCAGAGCACTTGATAAAATACAAACTGATAAAGCACGATTGTTTGATATTATTTTATCATTTGGATACTTTATTAAGTTTTGGAAAAAGTATACCAATAGAGTTTCAGCTAAAAGTATAATTACACAACTTGAAAATTGATAGAATACATGGGAACAACCATTACTATTACTTGCTTTAGTTCTTCATCCTAAATATCAGCTTAGCAAATTTAATCCAAATTTAATTTTGTATCATTAGGAACTTGGCTTAATTATTATTATAAAGTATAGACAAATCATAAACCAACAAAATTACTTTTAGAATTTGAATTATATAAAGTAAAAAATCACTATTTGATAATGATATATATAAGCAATTTAAAGATGATATTTTAATATATTGGTATTTTTGTTCTACTATATATAAAGTATTAGGATTAGTAGCTACTAAAATTTTTAGTATTTCTGTAACTTCTGCATCAGTAGAACGTTTATTTTCATCAATAGGATTTTTACATTTATCTCAAAAAAGTAATCTAGATATAATAAGTTTTATATTATTTATTAATTTTTTTTATATTATAATATATAACTAATTATATATTTAATAATCTACTATATTATAATAAAGCTATAGCTATAGCTCAACTTTGTGCTGATATTATACAAGCTGAAAATAAAAAAAAAAGAGATTATTATAAAAAAATTCAGGCAAACCTTATATTACCAATTATTGAACCAAGTATTCAAGAAAAACAACCAGATCAAAATAAATTACAATCAGATAAATTGCAAGATAATATTCAAGATGAATTACAAGTTTATATTCAAGATGAATTACAAATCAATATTGAAGATAAATTACAAACTGATTATATAACCACAGAAGATGATTGGAATGAAAGATTAGCAAAATGGTATAATATGCTTGCACAAGAAGAAAATAATGAAAATAATATATTAGATAATGATAAGTTTGATGATGATTTTTTTAGCTTGCAAACTCATCCCACTATTAATATAAATGCTAAATGGAATTTGTGTGATCTTTTTATTAGAGAATTAGAAAAACCAGATTTTATTTCTATTTCTTTAAATTAAACTATTATAAACTTTAATAAAAAATTATATATGTATGAAGTATTATTAATAGTTTAGTCTTTAAATTAAAAATCAAATTTAATTTAGATATATTTAAATAAGTTATTTTTTATATTTATATTAGTATAGTCTAAAATATATTAAAAATTTTTTAGTACTTTTTAAGTTATTTCTATTTTGGTAAGTTTATATATATAAATTTGTTTAAAATCAATTAAATTTAGTTTTGGTTTTGGACAGAGTTTTAGACAGATTTTGAACATGGTGTTCAAAAACCAAAACTGTCCAATTTCCCAGCACTAGTTCAAGATATGTCTAATGAAGGTTGATTTGTTTTTACTAATTGGTATAAATACTTTTTGATCATCTTTCTTTTTATTTTTAATTTCCTTGATTTCTGGTTGTACTAATTTAAAAATATCTGGTGGAGGAGGATTTAAAAAATTATCAGCATTTTCTATCTTTACATTTGCTATTAATTGTTCTTCAAATTGGGCAAAAGTATCTCCAATTTGAATAGTTGTATAGATTGGTATAGTGACCTCTTTATCATCTTCTAATTCTAACTCTAGTTTCTGATTAGAGTGATAATCTTTGAAATTAATCAGATATACAGTATTAGGATCTTTTATTTGTTGTTTACAAGATATTGGAATATATTCTATTTAATTTGTTATTCTAATACTCATATATTTACCATAGTAATTGATAGTAGATTGAACTTTATCCAAATATTTATTGCCAAGTACTACATTATATTCCTTAGACTCAGTTACTATTATATCAATATAAGTTAATTTGGTATCTAAAAGAACAAGTATATTTTTAACTCATCCTAATGGAGTTGTTTTGTTTTCTGTAATATCAACAACTTTAATATTACTAGGCTTATCAATTGTCCAATTAACTT